AAAAAAAAAAAAAAAAAAAAGGTCATTATTTTGACTAAATTCAAAAGGGTATTATATGATTTTTCTGTAAATTGAGCATTGAAATAAAAGCACAACAAGGTACTCAAGGCATTAGTCTGCTCTTTGGTAAAATTTGTAAAGGGTTATAAAAGATTTTTTTTCCTTTTTATGTTTCTGACTCATCATTTTGGCAAACTAAATAATTTATGGTAGTCTGGAATTCTAGTTCATAACATCAAGTGTTTTAAGCCTCTAACATATTTAGCAGACTTTCCAAAAATCAAGCTTCAGTTTCAAAATTGTCTTTCCTGACACCTGGGTTTTTGAATACTTTGGAGGAGCCCCTGGAGTGTCCAGAAAAGAGAGGTAAACAGGATTATTTGAAATGTTTAGGTATGCTTTGCACAGTGGCAGTATCGTAGCCAATGAGGTTTATCCAAGGCATGATTATTGCTAATTGAAAACTTTTCCCAATACCCCACCATGACAACTTGAAATATAGTCCACAATGGCAATTTTTGACAGTCTCTATGGGGACTGCATAAGAAAAAAAAATAGAAATGTTTAGGCACATGGAACTGTGTTCAGTCTTCTTTAGGTTATATTTTGAATAATAATAACATATCTTCCAAAATTGTATGGAATTTCCAAAATTCTAATGTCTGAGTATATGCTATCAATCATAATTAAAGTTGTTAAGTTTTTGTAAACCATGGAGATAATCAAACTTCTTTGTCAATTGTGCTTCTAAATGTAACTACCCTGAATGTTTTGTTATTCATAGACAATTATTTTGTTTTAATCCTTTTCAAAACATTGTTTATAATAAGCTACAGAACTTTGACAGGTGCTCTCAAATACAGGTTTCTGATAACTTTGGAGAGTGTAACATTGGAATAAAGGAAAAACATACAGGACTCATTAAGAGCTAAAATGTTCACAAATATCAAGCAAAGCAAGAGTTAACTGAATGTACTCAGGAAACTGAAGAAAGCTTTTTAACTTTTGCTTGGAATATTGCTGTCTTTGTTTTGTTTTTCAGAGTCAAGGAAACTCATTTTGAATTATTTATGGCCTTTAATAATTTGAGTTAGCTATACTCTTTTTTTTTCTTTTCAGATGGTATTTTTGCTCTTGTTGCCCAGGCTGGAGTGCAGTGGCATGATCTTGGCTCACTGCAAACTCCACCTCCCAGTTCAAGCAATTCTCCTGCGTCAGTCTCCTGAGTAGCTAGGACTACAGGCACACGCCACCATGCCCAACTAATTTTTGTATTTTTAGTAGAGACAGGGTTTTATCATATTGGCCAGGATGGTCTTGATCTCTTGACCTCTTGATCCGCCTACCTTGGCCTACCAAAGTGCTGGGATTACAGGTGTGAGCCTCCGTGCCCAGCTTAGGTATGTATACTCTTGTGAACAAAATCTGGAGCATGTTTGTTTCTCTTTGCCTTGTTCCTCTAGAATTTGGAAACTGTGAGTATTCTTAACTTGTGGTAATATAGTTGTTTGCATCACTGCCATAAGTATCCATTTTCTTTTGTAACAGGATGCATTTGGAGAAACTGTTTTGCCAAGGCTTTGACAGGAAGGGTATGCTTCCATTTAAGCAGTTGAGCTGGACTTGCAGAGCTGAAAAAATTTTTTTGGGAAAAAAACTAGCTTCATACCCTTGCCTACAGAGTCCCTGTACAGGGTTCCTGACCTGTGGTCAGTAAAGAATGTCACTTTCTAACAGGCCTAGGAGTTCCAAGTTTATCTTGGGACCTTGAGAGGAGAGGGTCACCCAACTCAGAGGTATTTGAGGATACAACCCCATGGCTGAGCTTGGCTTTAAAAGGTCTCTGGTTGGGCACAGTGGCTCATACTTGTAATCCCACTGCTTTGGGAGGCTGAAGTGGGTGGATCACAAGGTTAGGAGTTTGAGACTAGCCTGGCCAACATAGTGAAATCCCATCTCTACTAAAAATACTAAATTAGCTGAGCATGGTGACAGGCGCCTATAATCCCAGCTGCTTGAAACCGGAAGGCAGCAGTTACGGTGAGCCAAGATTGTGCCACTGCACTCCAACCTGGGCAACAAGAGGAAAACCCTATCTCAAAAAAAAACAAAAAAAGTTTTCTCTGACAGTCCTTGTGGAACAGAGTTCCATCAAAGCCAGTCTAAAAGGCCAATGTAGATGTCGGCTCACTGCAACTTCCACCTCCAGGGTTCAAGCAATTCTCCTGCCTCAGTCTCCCAAGTAGCTGGGATTACAAGCATACGCCACCAAACCTGGCTAATTTTGTATATTTAGTAGAGACAGGGTTTCTCCATGTTGGTCAGGCTGGTCTCAAACTCCTGACCTCAGGTGATCCGCCCACCTCGGTCTCCTAAAGTGCTGGGATTACAGGCATAAGCCACCCCACCCAGCCTCCAGCATTATTTTATGCCATTACCTGTACTGCCAGGTTCCCCTCACTCACTTTTAGTTGCTGTCAATACAAGTCTTCCTTAGGTTTTTCTAGCAGCTTCTTCCAGTTTCAAGACTTTTCCCTAAGCTGTCCAATTTGTCTGAAATGCTGTTCCCACTCTTATCTCCTTTAACTAGTTAATCCCTATTCATCTTCAGATCTTAGCTGATTAAATAAGTAGGCTTCTCACCCTACACTTCTTCATAACACTTCTTCCAACTGTAATTAAACTAATTATGCAATTAGTCTGTCTCCTCAAGTAGGCTGTAGGGACTTGTATGTCTTGGTTATAGCTATATCCCTGGGGCCTAGCATCATGCCTAACCCATAAGTACCCAATAAATACCTCTTGAATGAGGAGCAATGGTTTGGGAAAGTAAACTGAGCTTTGTGTGACTGGAGTTTAGAGAGATTTGCCAAAAATCTTCCTACAACCTGTTTTCAGTGTCCTCTGGTGGCCACTAATAAAAAGTGCATAAGATGGGCCTTAAGGGTTGAGTGACAAGGTCTGGGCTGGACTCTGCCTCCTGCAGGTCACTTATGCACATTGACTATAGTGTCTGACCGAAAAAGCCCATCCCCACCTTTTGTGATTTTGCAAGCTGGGATCCCCTAACTTCTGAATGTAAGTTGTTTGGACTCTTCATATTCCTAATCCTAGGCACTGATCAGGACAGGGGGATGGGAACTCAAGGCCCAGGTCCAGCACTGCCTTGAAACCAAAAGACAATCATTGCCATGATAGCTATTCCTGACGTAACCAATTAAGAGGCATTCTTGGTAAGACTCCCCGGAAGCATGCAATACTTAAGATTTGCCACTAGATGGTGGTACTTCCCAATTTGCCTAATGCAAGGATACAGAATTAGCCACGTCACAGTTTCCTTCAGAACCTGTGACATGTATGTTTGGGCTTCAAGGGCAGGTCACATCCAGCAGCCCTAGGTCTGTCATCCCTGGGGGAAGCAGCCTCCATCCCAGGCCTGACCAAGCAAATAAGACAAGCAAGCAATGTGGATGTTCTCATGGCTTTATTAACTCTTTCTGTTGTGGCAGGACCTCATTAGCTGGAGAGCTGGAAGGAAGGCCAAGAAGCTGTGGTCTCAGTATGGGTCATTAAAGGGGTACAGAGGATGCCCTGCATCCCTTGGAACTCTTTTCCCATCCACCTGGAAAGAGAGACAGATAGATTACTCCATCAACAGGAGCTACCATTCCAAAGACTCCAGGCATCTTCCCCAAATCTTCCTAAACAAACTTGTCTGTGTACAGCACTGTGTCAGATGGCAGTGGCCTGGATCCCCATCTCAGAGAAGACCACAGTGTCAACAGCATTCCAGCACCAAACCTATAGCCTGACATGTAGCTGCCCCTGCTCCTAAGAGTTTGCAGTCTCAACTGAGATCAAGAGGCCAGGAACCATTTATTTCCCTAAGTACAGCAGACTTTCCTCCCAACCCAACCTCTTGCCCGAGGTCAACAATGCCTTCTGGGCTCTCCTCATATCATTTACTGAGAATCTACTATATGTCAGGAATCGGGCTTATATTACATATGGGAAGCTGAGGCTTGGAGAAGTTTAGTAACTTGCTCTGGGTTACAAGATATCAAGAAGCAGGACTGGGACTCACAGGTTATATGCCTTATCCCTGAGCCATACTGCTTCCCTGAGCTCAATGAAGAGAAATGAGTGCACTATGACCAGCATAGCAATCCCACCCACAACATTGTGTTCCTTTCACAACCAGCAAGTCTGAGGTCACACTTGGGCCAGAATCCCACCCCAAATTTCACGTGCCCCAAGTCTAGCGGACTGATACATCCTTACCGTAAGCATAGGCACAATATATCGCCAATTTTTGTTCAGGGCATTTAGCTGCTTCATCTCTTCCGGGCTAAAGGTGAAGTCAAACACCTGAGGAGGAGGGGGGCGGTTCAGGAAAGCCAGTCTTGTGAGCAGAAGCTGGGGTTCCACAACACTGCCTTTTTAGCCAGGCAGAGTCAGGGCCAAGAAAATATCCCAAAGAGCTGAAGAAGATAGAACCATTCCAAGTACCTTGATGTTCTGAAGGATTCGAGAAGGAGTGATACTTTTGGGGATGCAGATCACTTTTCGCTGGACCTGCCACCTAAGTTGGGGATTTAGGTAGATGAGGAAAAGGGATCATTATTCATAAACATCATTTTGTTCTACATCCAGCCTTCCCTAAGCTCCTGGAGCACCTGAGCCCCATTGAAATGGGGAATATGCCTAGAGTGGCCTCCCTCCTCACCCAGACACTGAAATAAGAAATCCCTTAACCCTTGCCTCCCAACCCTAAGACTGCCCCATACCTGAGCAAGATCTGAGCTGGAGATCGGCCATACTTTTCAGCCAATGCCAGGACTACTGGTTCCTCCAGCAGGACAGGTTCATTAGGATCACGCCATGCACGATCAGAGGAGCCCAAAGGGCTATAAGCAGTTACCTCCAGGCCACGTTCTTGGCAGTGGGCAATTAGCTCATTCTGAGCCAAGTATGGGTGGCATTCCACCTGAGCCAAGGAATAACCCATCACCATGAAGCAGTCACACCCAGTTTGCCTGTTCCATCCCAGACATGCATGTCTGGACCAGCCCCCTATTGCTGACCCCCACGTCCCCACTTCCCCTCAGCCTGCTTTTCTGTTTCCCATCAGCAATTTCATTTTCTCCCAGTGCTTCAATGCCCACCTTTATGCAGTGGACTTCTGCACCAACACTCTGACAACTTGCTAGCCATCTCCATTAAGCAAATCCATCATTTGCTCACTCATGCTCTTGAGCACACAACCCTTAACCACTCATCTGCTTGCTGTCCTTACCTGCAAGACAGCTGGACACACGGAAGCCACACTGAATATGTCATCAATCTGCCGACTGTTGAAGTTGGACAGGCCCAGCGCTCGCACCAGCCCCTTAGCTACCAGTGCCTCCAGAGCCTTCCAAGTCTCCTTGTAGTGGGTGGAGTCATAGCGTATAGTCCCATCAGCATTCTTGGGGAAGGGATTGTCTCCCCGCCTGAGTGAGAGACAGCCCCACTAAGTGTGGACACAAATGCCAGGTTTCTGCCCTGACTTCCCATCCAGCCACTCTATGTCCCAAACTGCAATCCCAGAGAGGACAAAAGGGCAAGAATTTTTAAAAAGCCATGCTTTTTCATCCTTACAGATTGTAACCCAAGTGTTAAGTCTACATGGAATGCCTATGCCCCCTCCTCTTCCTAGACCCAGATATCTCCTCTCCTCTGGGAAGTCTTCCTTAACTCGTCCTCAGAGAGTTATCCACCCTTCTGCCCTTTTTGCAGCACAGGACACAGCACTAATGTTGGGCTCTTCTCACATCCTCTGCTGAGACTTACTTATTACTGTAACTCCAGGTGCTCAACAGAAAGGTCAGCACCTTTCCTGAATGAATAAATGGAGCAGGAGAGTTACAGGCATACACCCTAGGGTACATGCCATGTGAGGCTCTCTTCCTTTTTCTAGAGTTAAACTCCTGTAGTTCCACTAAGCTGCTGTAGCAGAAGAGGCTCAGATTCCATGTCAAGCTCCTCGGCTTGCCACTGAGATGAGTGTTCCTATCCTGCTTTGCTGCTGTGACTTGCAGTAAGTTACTAACACCATCCTGCTCCACCCCGATTCCCCAGATGAGGCTCTGGGAAGGCTCACTCGAAGGCATAAGGCCAGTGCATCAGGTATAGGTCCAGATATTCCAGCTGAAGGTCAGCCAGAGTCTTCTGGAGGGCAGGCTCCACATCTTTGGGGTGGTGTTTGGTGTTCCACAGCTTGGATGTCACAAACAGCTCCTCCCGAGGCACTGCCTAGTGCAGGGTGCAGGGCCCACAGTGAGGAAAGCCACCAGCACCTGGTCTCACCCACCCTCAACTCTGAGAGAGGAACTGGAGGGAAGCTGATGCCAGATTCCCTCCAGCTGGACCCCAGCCCCAGCTTCAGCTTCTGAATTCTTTTATTCCACCTCTCTTGACAACCCCAGTCCTTACCTTGCCTGGTCCCACGTCCTCCTTCAGGGCTTCCCCAATCTCAGGCTCATTGCCGTAGATAGCAGCACAGTCAATGTGGCGGTAGCCTACACTAAGGGCATACTTAATAGCTGCTTTTACCTGCCAGGTCAAAGAAGCAGAGGTTTCAGCTTTGTTGGTTTCAGCATTCTAATGTCGTCACCCCAAGGTCAGTGCCGGAGGAGGTGGGTCAGAAATATAACAGGGCACTCCATGCAGTGGAGGTGAAAGATGAAAGATGGGTTGGACATGGTGGTTCATGCCTGTAATCCCAGCACTTTGGGAGGCTGAGGCGGGCACATCACCTGAGGTCAGGAGTTTGAAACCAGCCTGGCCAATTGAAGTCGGCCTGACCAACATGGGGAAACCCTGTCTCTACTAAAAATACAAAATTAGCTGGGTGTGGTGGCATGCACCTGTAATCCCAGCTACTTGGGAGTCTGAGGCAAGAGAATTGCTCGAACCTAAGAGGTGGAAGTGGTAGTAAGCTGGGATCGTGCCACTGCACTCCAGCCTGGGCAATGAGAGCGAAATTCCATTTCAAAAAAAAAGAAAAAAAAACAAAAGGAAGATGGTTTCAGTCTAAGGGACCAGGAGCCTATTCAGAGGCCCTAAACCCTTTGCCCTGCCCCTACCCCAACCAGTCTCTAAGATGCCTTCCTACCCAAGCCATCTCGGCAATGTCTAGCAAAAACTAATAATATTTTCCCACCATCTACCATAAACAGGGCTTTAGTAAATATTATTTTCAGGCTGAGCACAGTGGCTCACACCTGTAATTCTAGCACTTTGGGAGGCCAACATGGGAAGACTGCTTGAGGCCAAGAGTTCAAGACCAGCCTGGTCAACATAGCAAGACTCCACCTCTTTTTTTAAAAAAATTAAGGCCAGGCAAGGTGGCTCACGCCTATAATCCCAGCACTTTGGGAGGCAGAGGCAGGTGGATCTCCTGAGGTCAGAAGTTCAAGACCAGCCTGGCCAACATGGTGAAACCCTGTCTCTATTAAAAATGCAAAAATTGGCCGGGCGCGGTGGCTCAAGCCTGTAATCCCAGCACTTTCGGAGGCCGAGGCGGGTGGATCACGAGGTCAAGAGATCGAGACCATCCTGG